TGATGTCAAGGTGGTGTCCCAGTGCCTGGAGGCTGTGCAGGCTTGGATTGGGAAGAAACGTCTCTGACTCAATCCTACCAAGATCAAGTGGCTGCTGTGGGTGTCCAGATCTGGGGATGGAAATCTTTAACCTTGGATGGGGTAGCACTTCCCCTTTCAAGGTTGGTACGCAATTTGGAGGTCTTCCTGGACTCACAGTTCCTGCTTGAAGAGCAGATGTCGGCTGTGGCCAGGAAGGCCTTTGCCCAACTCCTATCTGGTGAGCCAGTTGCACACTTTCCTAGATTGCCCTCCCTTCAGACAGTCACTAATGCCCTAGTAACTTTGTAGCTTGACTATTGTCTACATGGGGACTATTATCTACATGGGGCTGCCCTTCAAGACCACCCAGAAGCTTCAACTGATCCAAAACATGGCAGCGCAAGCAGTAATGGGCGTGCCTCAGTATACCCATGTAACATCTCTGCTCCATGAGCTGCTGTGGTTCCTGGTTTGCTCTTGGGTGCAATTCAAGGGACTGGTTGTTATCTATAAAGACATACATGGCCTAGGGCCTGGTTCTTTGAGGGACTGCCTGTCTTCCATAGCATTTGCCTGGCCAATTCAATCCTGTAGGGTTGGCACACTCCAGGCTTCTTCGATTAAACAACATCATCTATTTGGACTCTGGAAGCAGACCTTCTCTGTAGCAGTGCCTGCCTTCTGGAACAAGGTTCCCCCTGAAATCCGGATGGCCCCCATCCTGCTGTTGTTTAGAAGACCCATGAAGACCTGTCTCTTCACCTAGGCCTTTGGTGAGGGAGAGTGAGATCTCTTGCTTCATCACACTCACCATCTTTTATCTTTAATAATATCTTTAAAATCTTTTTATTGATTTTATTGTAATTTCTTTGTTGTGAGCCGCCCAGAGTCATTGAGAGTTGGGTGGCATACAAGTTTAATAAATGATTATTATTGTTGATCGCACAGTCAGCCAGATGTTTAGGCTGAATTTGGCATTTTTATCCACTTATCGAGTCCTTCCCAAGGACCTGGGATAGGCAGATGTTGTTATTTGATGGTGTTAAAGGTATCGTTGCAGTATATAAGCTATTCCAAATAAAGCTGCCTTTTGCAATTGACTGATGATTTTGTTAATGCCAATGGTCTTCAAATGGTACTCCAGATGTTTTTGGATTGCACCCAAGATGCCTATTACTATTGGTACTATCTTTGTTTTCCTTTTGCCACAGTCGTTCTATTTCTATTTGCAGGTCTTTGAATTTTGTGATTTTCTCCAGTTCTTTTTCTTTTATTCTGCTGTCTCCAGGGATTGCAATGTCCATTATCCAGACTTTTTTGTCTTTCTTACCAATAATTGTTAAATCAGGGGTGTTATGTGGCAAGTGCATGTCTGTTTGAATTCTAAAATCCCAGAGCACTTTAGCTTCTTCATTTTCTATTACTTTGTCTGTTTTGTGGTCCCACCAGTTCTTGCTTGCAGGCAAATGGTATTTCTTGCAGATACTCAAATGTACCATCGTTGCTACTTTGTCATGCCGTTATTTGTAGTCAGTCTGTGCAATATTCTTGCAGCAGCTGACTAGGTGGTCCACTGTTTCTTCAGCTTCTTTGCAGAGGCGGCATT